GGGTTCAATCCCTGGTCCGGGAAGATCCCACATGCCTCTGAGCAACTAAGCCTGTGCGCCACAACTACTGAGCCTGTGCGCCACAACTACTGAGCCTGTGTGCCACAAGGAAGAATAGTCCCCCTTCGCCACAACTAGAGAAAGCCTGCGAGCAGCAACAAAGACCCAATGCAGCCCAAAAACAAATAAAATTTTAAAAAAAGAACCCCGTATCCCCCTCACTCAGACACTCCAATTGTCAATATTTTGCCACATTTGCTGTCTCTCTGTTTCTCTCTGTACATACAGTTAAAAAAAAGCAACATGCAACCACAAATAACAAGTGTTGGCGAGGGTACGGAGGAAAGGGAACCCTCGTGCACTGCTGGTGGGAAGGTAAATTGGTGCAGCCACCATGGAGAACAGCATGGAGGTTCTTAAAAACTGAAAATAGAGTTACCATATGATCCAGCATTCTCACTGCTGGGTATGTATCAGAAGAAAACGAAAACACTAGTTCAAAAAGATACATGCACACCTATGTTCATAGCAGCATTATTTACAATAGCCAAGATATGGAAGCAACCTAACTTTCCAGCAACAGATGAATGGATAAGGAAGATGTGGTATATGTATATATATATATACGTATACACACACACACACACACACACAGACACTTATAAACACACACATATGCACACATACATATAAACACACACAATGGAATGAAAAGAATGAAATTCTGCCATTGGCAACAACATGGTTGGACCTAGAGACTATTATGCTTAGTGAAATAAGTCAGGCAAAGAAAGGCAAATACTCTATGTTATCACTTATATGTGGAATCTAAAAATCGAAACAAACGAATGTATATAGTAAAATAGAAACAGACTCACAGATACAGAAAACAAACTAGTGGTTAACAGTGGTGAGAGGGAAGGGAGGAGGGGCAAGATAGGGTAGGGGATTAAGAAATATAAATTACTATGTATAAAATAGATAAACAGGACTTCCCTGGTGGCGCAGTGGTTGAGAGTCCGCCTGCCGATGCAGGGGACACGGGTTCGTGCCCCGGTCCGGGAGGATCCCACATGCCGTGGAGCGGCTGGGCCCGTGAGCCATGGCCGCTGAGCCTGCGCGTCCAGAGCCTGTGCTCCGCAACGGGAGAGGCCACAGCAGTGAGAGGCCCGCGTACCACACACAAAAAAAAAAAGATAAGCAACAAGGATATATTATATACAGCACGAGGAAATATAGCCATTGTTTTGTAATAACTTTAAATGGAGTATAATCTATAAAAATATTGAATCACTAGGTTGTATACTTGAAACTAATATTAATATTGTAAATGAACTCTATCTCGATTAAAAAAAACAAAGAACAGCAACAACAACAAAAACCACGGGGGCTTCCCTGGCGGCACAGTGGTTGAGAGTCCGCCTGCCGATGCAGGGGACATGGGTTCGTGCCCCTGTCCAGGAAGATCCCACATGCCGCGGAGCGGCTAAGCCCGTGAGCCATGGCCGCTGAGCCTGCGCGTCCGTAGCCTGTGCTCTGCAACGGGAGAGGCCACAACAGTGAGAGGCCCGCATACCGCAAAAAAAAAAAAAAAAAACCACGGACTTACTTTTTTTCTGGGTCCATTAAACATAGTTAAATAAACTTTCAATTTTATTTACTTATTTTTCTTTCAGTTTTATTGAGATATAATTGACATACAGCACTGTATAAGTTTAAGGTGTACAACATAATGATTGGACTTACATACGTCATGAAATAATTACTGCAATAACTCCAGTGAGCATTCATCATCTCATACAGATACAAAATAAAGGAAAAAGAAAGATTCTCTCCTTATGATGAGAACTCTTAGGATTCACCCTCCTAACAACTTTCACATATAATGTACAGCAGTGTTGATTATATTAATTGTGTTGTGCATTACATCCGTAGTACTTATTTATCTTATAACCGGAAGTTCGTACCTTTTGACTACCTTCATCCAATTCCCCCCTCCCCCAAACCCCCGCCTCTGGTAACCACAAATCTGATCTCCTTTTCTATGAGTTTGTTTTTGAACAATTGACCTACAACACTATGTGAGTTCCTTTACACAACATAGTGATTCGATATTTCTGCACATTACAAAATGATCACCACTAAGCTTTCAATCTTGGAATAGTTTGAAACTTACAGAAAAGCGGCAAAGACGGTACAGGGAACTCTACATACCCTGTACCCAATTTCTAATTGCCCCTCTTGTCATCTTACATTGCTATGGTACATTTGTCATAACTAATGACCAATACTGATACATCATTATTAACTAAACTCTGTGCCTTATTAAGGTTTTGTCAGATTTTCCCTTAGCTGATGGACTCCCTTTTAAATTTAAAAAAATTACAGATAGGAAAGTGGAAGACAGTGGAAAACCGTGATCACTTGCCAAACAGGATTCTAGCTGGATGCTGTTGGCTGCTGGCTGACCTAAGCCTGAGGCCTGCTTTTTCTTTGTCAGAAAGAGAGATTAGTAGACGGTAGAGGTGTTAAAGACAGATTAGCACAAAGCTGAGACTCTGTCCCAGGCCAAATGGGATGGGAAGAGAATTGCCACTGGAGTAAAATGACGTTCCCACTCTAGGGGCAGTGCTGTTCAGTGTCCTGTGTGTCACCCAAAGTCATCTTGGGCACTGACCCTATGTGAGGCCTGCTTTGGGAATGGCATGGTCTCACTCCGCCACTCCCTCAGATGGCTGGAAACACCAAGTCTGAGACTGCCCGGCTCCAAAGCTGGGGTTCCTTTCTGCCCTGGAGGACGAGGAGGAGGGGCTGGTGCCCCCACTGGCTCGGGGCTGTGAGAAGCATCATTTGTCTTCTTTGCAGTAAGTCCCCAGTTGAATTCCCAAAGCCCGCAGGCACTGGACAAGTGGGGGACAGAGAGCATTCTGGTGAATTCCATCACATCACAGCACGTGCGAAGCACCCTGTGTGGAGTACCAGGCTCACCTGCCTGTTGTGCCTGTGAGATGTGGTCGTGCACTTGGTCGGTGAGCAGGAGAGAAACGGCTGAACCGAAAATGTGCTTCTCGGCAGCCCTTTTCTTGGCATGAAGTCTGAACTTGTTCACTCCTTCAAAACGCTTCAAAGTGGTTTTCATGTTTTGCAAGTTAGAGTAGGTGACATTGCTTCCTGAAAACCAAGCCATCAACTTTCCAATACTTTGCTTTCAAATATAGATCTGCCGGCCTCCTTTCCAGGAGACCTAAGCCCACTCCGGAGTAACTTTGACAGCTCCCTAGCTCTTAAGGAATTTCACTCAGTGCAATGTCACTTTCAGCTCTGGGTCCCAACACCTGACTAGAGGTGACCAAACTAGAGTGCTTGTAGAACTTCCGGGTTCACTCCTCAGGACTGCTGTTCAGTTCTCAGCTGACAGATTATAGAATTCCTTGAGCTAGTCCAAGGAGGCAAACGGGTGGATGAAATTTTCTCCGGGTATGGGGTGCAACGTCACTGGTGAAGGAAGCTGGTTGGGAATCTAGGTAATAGATGAATCCATTTTCACTTTTCAGAATGAAGCTGCTACAGGTAAGAGCACCACGCTTAAACTTCTGCCTCTCCCACTTCCCAGAGGTAATGGCTCAGTGTGGTTTATATCCTTACAGACTATTTTCCTGGCTTTATGTGTTTCCATAGCATTTCATTTTATGTGTGTATAAGGGCGGAGGGTTACACAATCAGGATGATATTGAATGTGTCATTCTGACCCTCTTTTCACTCAATAATATGTCTTGGAGACCCATCTCCATTGTTACATACAGATGCAGCTCACCCTCTGAATCCCTGCCTGGGATAGTACAATTCTTTCATATTCTATTTATTATATTCTATTTATTATATTCTATTTAACCAGTCATTTTTTTGGATGGATATTTATTTCCAATGTTGCCTGTGATAAACCTTTTTTTTTTTTAAGCAAACGTCTATGTGCATGCCACCTCGTGGACGTGCATTAAGTGATGTTCTGGGTGGCAGCTTACGCCCATTTCTGGTTTTTAAAGGTCTTGCCAAATTACCCTTCAGAGTATGTGTGTTTGTGGCTGTGGGAAGGGGTGTCAGTTTCTCTTCTTTGGGGCTGTTTATTCCTGATTTCTTGTCTGCAGTGGCTGCAGGGTGGCACGGAGCCAAGGGGCAGCAGAGAGAAATTTATCCCTAGGTGTTACAGGCTGGGAGGCACCATGGCTGGGGGGTGGGCTCTCCGTGGTGGCGATGAATGGGGCCTTTGTTCCTGGGTCCATCCCTGAGCAGAATCCGAAATCCGAAAGCCGAGATGTGCCGAGGTGACCAAAGGAGCAGTGCCTCGTATCTGGACTCCACCCTTGACTGGGACACACAGTCAAGTTCATAGGAGCTCTACACACCCATGTAATGGGGGTTGGGCGGCGGGGCAAACCCTGAAATAATTAGGTTGTAAAGAAAGAAAAGAGGCTGACCACTAGCTGTAGAGATGTAAAGGGAAAAGACCAAGCTAATTTACATCCCAGGAGAAGTGGGAGGTGCAGAGGGGGCTTGGGGGGAACCAGGACCAGAGGAAGGGGTGTACGGAGGACCGGATCTGGGACAGAGGCAGGGAACAGATGGGAAGGAGGGAAGAAAGGAGAGAAAGGAGAAAGAGTGAGGAGAGCGACCCGAAAGTGGCAAGGTAGGAAGAGGGAGAAGAGGGCGGGGGAGCGAGCGGGAGGCTGGGTCCCGTCTGTTTGTGATTAGCACGAAGCCCGGTGCAGAATGAGTAAACAGAAACTTCCAGGCCTCCCCACACCCCCCTCTGAGGCAAAGCAGAAATCAGATGCTCCGTGATTAATCGTGGAGAGTTCAGGACACGACCACAAACGCTGTACGGACTTGAAATTAGCTGCCTTTCCCGGTCCCCTTGCCAAGATGCGAGTGGGGGTGGGCCGTGAAGGGGTGGGGCTCCGCCTGCAGGGGGCCAGCATGGAATTCTCCCTGGCAGAGCTCAGAGTGACACTGACGGGCAATCGGCCGCGGCCAGAGCGGCAGGCAGCATCCGGGGGGAACGGGGCCGGCCGGGGGGGCCCCAGGCGGGCTTCCTGGAACCCCAGCTCCGCGGCCGCCTGCACCCTGACACAGGCCGGATAAGAGCCAGGCTGCTTTATCGGAGCCCGGCTGGCGGCCGCGCGCCGTCCCCACGGCACCACGAGGAAGATCGCGGGCAGGGGGTCCTCCGAGGCCATCTTCCGAGCAGCCAGTCCCTACAGGCTGGTCTCCCGAGCCCCGCAGCCGATGGGAGCCGACGCTCGCTTCAGCGATAGAGAAAGCCGTGTTGCTTCCAGGAGGACGGCGTGACACGGCCCTGAATGTCGAGACCTGCTCGATGGTGAGTGCGAAGCGACTGCTCCGTGTGCAGCTGGCGTGGACCAGACTTTAGAGGGAGTCGGGGTGTGAGGAGGGCATCCGCACATCCCACCTGGAGCTCCCCAAGCGCTGAGGCTGAGATGAGATGGCAGCATCTTGCTGTGTGGCCTTGGGCAACTTCCTTCCCCTCTCTGGGCCTCCCTTTGTCCATCCCTACAATGAGGGGTTGAACTAGGTGATCTTTAAGGGGCTCTTACTATGACTACTGTTTTTTCCTTGTGTTTAGCAGCGCCGGGCAGCTTGCAGGATCTTAATTCCCCGACCAGGGAATGAATCCTGGCCCTTTCAGTGAAAGTGCAGAGTCCTAACCACTGGACTCCAGGGAATTCCCTACGACTGCTATGTCGTGTGGGTCTGCTGCATGCCAGGCACTGTGCCAGGCTTTGCTGAAGCTTTAGCTCAGAGAATCCCCATGAGCCCCTGGCAGGACAGGGATTATTACTCTTATTCTCGTTGTACATTGAGCAAATGGAGGCATAGAGAAATGAAGTGACTTGCCCAAGGTCACACAGCTGGTCAGTGGCAGAGATGAGAGTCAGATCTCAGAAGCTCTCCGCCTCCAGGAGTAGCTGGGACTTCTGTGTTCTCTGAGTCTGTGACTATCCCAGGAAGCAGAGGTGAAGGAGGAGAGGGTGTCAGGGGAGTGTTATGTGTACGAGGAAGAAGAACAGTGGGACAGACGAAGCACCGGGCTGATCAGCCTGCAACATTTAGAGGGTATGTCAGCCCAGGGATGGGCAGGGGCTCCTGGCTTGAATGGAGAGGGCCTGATGCCCCTTGCTGTACGAGGCTCCCGGGGAATGAGAGAAGAGAGTTAATATTAGGCAGGGGTGGGGAGAGCTGGGGGTGGGGAGAGTGGCACATGCCTCTATGAGGTTTTGTTCCAGTTTTATTTTGCCTTTTTCAAAAATCTGTTTTGAATCATTCTGGGCCCCCACTGCTCCTCTGGACGAAACAGAATTGTGAAACACATACAGTGCTTTCCACATGCCTCCCTTGGGGGGAATCACATATTAATATTATCGTAGGCTATTTGCATATACATCCCTGAAGCTGTGGTGACAGCGGCCAAGAGATAAGATGCAGATAAATTCAGCTAGTGTCTCTCTGGCAGAGACAAGGAGGATGCATGTTACATCAAGGGCGGGGAAATCCACAGCAGGGCTGTGGCAGGTGGGAAATCCCTCGGGTGCCAGCCATCTGGGTAGAGCTGGAAGTCCCAGCACCCAGATATGGCCTCCTCTTTTCTCTTCCCTTGGAAAATTCCATCCCGCAGCAGCTCTGTACTCGCTCCTTTTCTTTCTAGGACTGGCCCAGACCCTCTGCCTTGGGCTTGAGTTGAGACCCGACTGGTGGTCCTAGCTCAAGAGTGACCAACTTGTCCCAGGAGACCTCCTCAGTCCCGGGACAGCTGGTCACCCTACACAGTTCTGCCCTTGATTTCTGTAATCTTGTGCAAGTCACTCCCCTTCTCTCATCTATAAGACGAGATTATTTTAGGAAATCTCTAAAATCTCTTTAAACTCTAAATTGCTATGACTCTGGCTGGAAGGCACTTATGTTCTAAACGTGGGTGAGACACAAGCTTAAAGAGGAGGAAAATCTCCCCACGAGTCCCCCAGCGCATCAGGGAAGGCGCCAGAGGAGGCTGGGATTAAGATGGGCTTGAAGAAGTGATTACTGGCCTGCAGTGCCCCGTGACTGCTGTCAGCGAGAACAGTCCTAGGGCCCCGCAAGCTTCAGAAAAGCCTCATGAAACGCTGAAAGCCCAGCTCAGTCCCGCAGCTTAGGTTTGGCACAGAGTGATTTAACCCAGATGTCTGCCACTTACAGAGCCCTCACCTACGTGTCATTGGAAGCTCAGCACCCCCAGGGTCCCCCAGTTCCTTCTGGGGAGCTCCAAAGGGATGTTTCACATTGGCTTGCAAACTAGTCCCTCGCCTCTGCCGCCAAGGCCACTGGGAGAAGTTCACTGTTGCCAGTACCCATCTGGTGGGGCCAGACTCCAGCTGCTTAGTGCCTGAGCTGCTCTGGGTTCTGGGCAGAGGTGGAGGGAAGGGCTTCCTCCCCAGCCCGTGACACTCTCTGCCATGTGGTCCCTGCACGGGTGGCGTGCTGGAGCCAGCTTGGACCGGCTCGCAAAAGCCGACTGTCAGATTTTTCAGGAATTTGGTGAACTCGTTGCTAACCAGAGCCATTATTAAAAATTAAGCTACATAAACTTATAATTAAATAAATTTAATTAAAAACAAAGGTCGTGGGGCTTCCCTGATGGCGCAGTGGTTAAGAGTTCGCCTGCCAATGCAGGGGACACGGGTTCGAGCCCTGGTCCGGGAAGATCCCACATGCCATGGAGCAACTAAGCCCGTGCGCCATAACTACTGAGCCTGTGCTCTAGAGCCCGCGAGCCACAACTACTGAAGCCCACACACCTAGAGCCTGTGCTCTGCAACAAGAAAAGCCACCACAATGAGAAGCCCACGCACCGCAACGAAGAGCAGCCCCCGCTCGCCGCAACTAGAGAAAGCCCGCACGCAGCAACGAAGACTCAACATAGCCAAAAAATAAATAAAGGAAATAAATTAAAAAAAACAAAAAACAGAGGTCGTAAGTGCTCAAAACTCATCACTTTCCAGTTTTTAAAACTACATGTTACTGTTACTCGTTCTCCTGGGGATATTCATGTCCGGTGTGTCTGTCTGGTGGGAACACCCCCTAACAGTGCACTATTGCAGATCTCTTCCCAATTCCATTTTTTGTGACTTAAGTTGGTAGCCTGAAGTCGGCCATGGTGGGAGTAATTACACTACGGGAATTGGCAAACAGTACAGCTCAGGGCTTGATTTATTGTTTTGTTGACTGTCTAGGTCAACAGACAAAGTGATCTAGACAAAGAAAGGGAGGGAGAAAAGGATGATGCAGGTTAGACATAAAAATGCGTCACGTCTCTAATTGTTACAGTGGGAATAACACCAAAAAGCAGGGAAGTTGCACACTTCGCTGACAAACCAGGAAAGTTCCGACCTGCACTTTGGTGTATCATTTTTGTCTCAGTCCTTAAGGTAAAGGCAGATATCAGCCAACGTTCTGGAAAGAACTACAGTCACTCATCAATTATAACCGTAAGGTGACAACAGATACAAGAGCTGGCGGCAAAAATCAACAAAAATGTCCTGTGTGAATCAACTGAGGATATGAAATTTACAAAAGGGGGGGCTATTGTACATTTTACGTTTATCTGTAAGTTGTGGGCTATACATCCTTTCCATCAATACAATCTATAGTAAACCTGAGTATATATGTGTTTATGTGTGCAAGCATAAGTGCCTATATTTGTACACATGGGTGCACGTACATACCCACACATACACTTTCCCCTGGAAAGCTGGTTGTTAAACCTTTACCAACACACCACTGGCCCCATAGCATATATGCCTGTGCCCAGGGTCTTAGAAATCTTGTCATGGACCGTCCTCAGCTCTCACCCAAAGGGATTCAAACTCCAGGCACTGGGCCTTGGACACAATCCCTCAACTTCCTCCTCTGGCCTCAGACAAACCCAACAGGCAAACTCCTCTCTCCTGCTCTAAGCGCTGGAATGGATGCAGAGATTGGGAGGGTCAGAAGGTGTTATTTGCACCGGCTGTGTCCAGGGCCCCAGCTCAGGCAGCACAAAGGCCCTGGGTCCCTGCGTTCTCGGTGCCCCCCCCCGCCCCTCCACATTCGCAGGGCGTTTCCGGGTCCCCTCAGGGGCAGCTCCCTGTAAATTCCATCCCTTTTCAGGTCTCGCTCCTGCCATCCTTGATTTTCATGCACAACACATGATTCTCTAATCAAAATGGCGTCTTGGAACATGGAGGAGGAACAGCTAAGCCAAACCTATTGGAAAGTTCAGAAAACTTTCTATTTTTAGAAAGCCTAGGAGCCAGGTGGGCCCTTTCCAGTCTCCCAGGCCCGCAAGCACGAGAGGAAAATATTTCTCATTCCCCTGTTCTGCCTTCTTACAGGCCTAGCCAAGGAGGAGGCCCAGGTGGGGACACTGGCCGCCTATGAGAAGTGAGGCTGGGATGGCAGGAAGCGAGCCCCGCCCACAGCAATCTTAAAAGGAGCTAAAACCAGGGTTTTTGGATTCTTTTATTTTGCATGTAGGAAGGGCAATCCTGACTTTAAATCTCAGTGGGTTCCGCTCCAGGTAACCACTGTCTGTTCTTCCAGACCGTTCATTCACTCGTATATGTAATTTTAATGTTCAAAAATGAGGTCATTCTTACATTTTATTCCGCATCTTCCTTGTCTCACTTGACAATACAGCCCGGTGTCTTTCCCTGTTAGCACATGAAGACCTAAACCACTCCTTTCAATGCCTGCATAACAGAAGCCCCAGGAGGTTGTGAGAAGGGAGCCGTTTTGACAACCACATCTCTATTTTCAAACCAGGTCTCAAACTTTCTTGACTGCAAAACACGAGTAGAGCCCAGCTGCTTCCACTTTTCAGTAAAAAAGACATTCTATTGGCTCTACCCTCAACCTGTCTCCGGAAGCTGCTGGCTTCCCGTCACCTCCACTGCTGCCACCCTCGTCCCCGTGGCCATCATCCCTCTCTGGACTGTTGTGGTTGCCTCCTCACGGACGTCTCTGCTTCTCCTCTTGCCTCTCTGATGGGCTGTTCTACACCTGCCGCCAGCAGGTCTTATTAAAAGGAAGTCAGATCCTGCCCCTCCTCTGCTCAGGACACCCTCCTCCCACAGGCCTGGCTCCCTGCTCCTAACCACGGCCACCAGGCCCCGCAAAATCTGGACCTCATCTCCAGATTCTGCCCTGCCCTGCCCCTCGCCACACTGACTGTTCTCAAGTGAGCCAGGCTCAGTACTGCCTCGGGACCTTTGCACTTGCCTTCCCCTCTGCCTGGGACACTCATTCCCAGATCTCCACATACCTCTTTCCATCATCTAAAAATAATAT